GGGTGGTTGATTGTTTTCCCGTAACTCCCATCGCTCCTCTGGGAAACCCCTTCACGGCTCGGATTTCTAGCTCTAAACTTGCCGCAGCTGGGCCCTGCTCCCCCGCCGCCGTGGTGCTCTCGTCTCCACAGACATTGCCAGGTGTAGGAAAGGCCGAGGTTTAACAGCGGGGTTCTGGGGCTTAAATCTGGGCATGTGCCTCAGCTTAGAGGAGGTAGTGTAATAAGCAGTAGGCTGTCTACAAAGTTCTAGTTAGCTTAGTGGTTAATGTGTGTGTGTGTTCAGGGAAGTTAGGCTTTTGTAGCAAAGGGGAAGATTTAATTGTGGAAGGTGTGGTTAGCTTAATTCTTTTAGTAACAGTTTCAGCCTCCAAAAATTTAAAGCACCAATTTTAGAAGCAAAGTTGAGAAAGCAGGTTCTTCTGCTAACCCATTTCTACAACTTGTGTTTCATTCCCTCTGCTTTTTTAACCTGTAAATGGAATGGATAATACCCACCTTTTAAAAAGATTTTGGAATTGTTAGCTGGGGAGAAAAAACCTGCATGTAAATCATTACTGTAACTTCTGTTTATCCCCAAATCTTTATCTGGCATTTGGAGAAGGAGACAGGTTTTGTCACTACTTACAACTTTCTATACTTGTTGAAATAGGTTTGTTCCCTGACCAGCAAAAAACCAGTAGTTGCATTGCAAGTACTACAGGGTATGAAAGTCAAAATACTGGTACCAAACAGTCCCACAACTTGAAAGCTAATGAAATAGCAGTTGAGGTTGGTTGGGTCTCTAAGTAAGAGCATCTCAGTTGTTATTAGAAATCTCTAAAGAGGGAGAGTAACAGCTAGTTGTCATGGATTTTTTTTTTTTTTAACTTGCGTGAGCAGGATTTGTCAATATGGTATAAAAGCATTTTGTTAATACTAATTTTAAATCTTAGCACACAAATTACTTAAAGAATAGTTTATGCAATTGATTTGCTGTTTCTTCATACTTTGAGAACATTTTTGTTTTGGAAGATGCAAACATTCATTGCTTCTTTTTTGAAATGAAGCTTAGAAAAGTGGTAGATACTATGTTGAAATTTTTAAGGCATGTAGGCAACATTCCTCTTACTTCAGAAATTCCTTCCTGGAGTGAAGAAGAGAGGGGATGCAAGGAGTGGTTAAAAAGAGAACAAGAAGGACTGAGTACAGTCAATGCAGGTTGTGTTTATAACCAAGTAAAGAGTATTGCAAAATCCAGGACCCAGCTCCTGATCTGAATTATTCCTGTAGTTGGAGTTTGTAGGCATGTCACCATAGGGTATGCCTAAACTAGGTATATTTGTGCTTTCAGCATAGATAGAGGGCAGAATAACCTGGGATGTGCTGCCCAGAAAGATACAGAAGTGGTAGTTCTGCTGCTGTTGAACATGACTTGTGTCTCTAAATCCCTTTAATGGCTTTTGAAAAATGCAGTTTGTTACAGCCTCATCTCATCATCTAAGTGTACTTCCTGATAACAATACATGAATAAAACATTTGCTTGATCTTCAGGGTGTATTTGATATACAGTTACTTTTTTTTTGTAGTTGTTAATTTTTTTACACTATCAGAGATTGGAACTCAAGCTGAAATGTGCATGTGTCTGTGTTATGCTTACAACAATTCCCAGTAAAACCTAAGGTCGGGTTTTTTTGTTATTTTGTGGTTTTCTTTTCTTTTTTTTTTTTTTAACATAGCACAATTGACAATGTAGTGCAGAGTTGTTCTTTTCTTCTTTGATCATAAACCAATCTTAAATTGAAAACAGTGTGCATTAAATGTATTTGGTACCCAGGAACTTTAAAATCAGTTGGTTTGTTTTTTTTTTTTTTTTTTTTTTTTTTTTTAGAAACCTATACTTGGATTCACCAGGTGTTGGAAAGTCAGCTGGCAATACAAACCATCATTAGTAGAGTGTATGGCAAGCTCTGCCTACTTGGGGGCATCAGTGGGTATGGATTGGAAAGGTTTGATTAAGGCTGAAACTCCATCTGACTATTTCTATGTGCTTTAATGATAGTGTTTGTAATTACAACTTCTGAAGTTTCTACTATCAGAAAACTTTGAAAAAACGTGTGGCCAGTTGGATTGTAAGAATTTATTTCTGTTAAGTTGCTTTTTCTAGTAAGAGAAAGTAATTTGTGTGCAAATCATTATGTGTTAATGAGCAATAAAAACATTGATATCCATGTTGCATGGTGAGCTAAAACTTACATGCAGAGTTGCTAGTATTTTAGCAGGGGAAGATCTGAAATGAGACTATAAGTTTGTTTCAAATATGATTCTGTTACATAGTCAAGGGAATTTTCTTTGAGACTTGTCACTTTTTGAAAAAGTTTCAAGGTATTGTTTTATTTGATGTCTTTAGCAAAGTTGGGTGGCTTAAAAAGGTCTCTGGAGTAATGTTGCAAAATGGAAGATTAATCAGTGAGTTTGACTTACTGCAGGGTGATATCTGGAGCTTGATTTTGGTGGCCACAGTCGTGCAGCTATCTAACATTAATAGATCTCTACTGGATTCAGACTGATTTGGAGGTGCAGCACTATTCCCTCTGACTATTGTAAGAGATTATTCGTAAGAGAGACACCTGTGAGTTTAAATCTGTCATTTTCCCGATGTCATGTATTTTAACTTGGTGGTAGTTGTTCAAATTTGTGAACTGATAATAATGAGTTACCATGTGATATATTCCCTGAATCCCATGTCAGTTGAGACGTGGCGTCTAAGTGTGTACAATAAGCATATTTCTCCATTCTGTGATGATGGGACTCCTAACAGCTTTTCCTTTTTAGCAGTAGGTCAAGGAGTTTTGCTGCCATGTCTGGGGAATGTTCTGAAACTGTAAATGCTGGAATTAAAAGTCTGTATTTGACGTCTTCCATAAAACCAAAACCTAGTTTCTGCATTGAGAGGTGAGTATGTCTTTAGTTAGGAGTAAGACTGCAAACTGTAAGCCCACTTTTGACTGCTTACAGTTATTATGTTCATACCTTGGAGATTTCTGTCAGATGTTCTGAGTTGTAAAGAAGAGATTTGCTTTCCTGGCCTAATTTGTGATCCTGTGTTGACCTAAAGTTTTCAAGCATGGTTTTCCCTCACCTCCTTTCCTACTTGATAAGAAGTATGTAGGTTTTCCAAGTCATACAAAACCTTCAGCAACTCGTTTGCACATCATGGGCTGTGATGTTCCTTGAGCATAAAAATTCCCCCAGTGTTACTTCAGTAAAAGCCAGTTTGGAATTACACTTCTGGTGTTTCTCTTGATGCTTCTTGCTTTGCATAGAGAGGCTTAGGATGGTGGAGTGGGGCGAGGCAGGAGGAATAAAGTGGCTGCTGAATATTTGCTGCAAGGTAAATGTTTTCCCTCCCTGTTTGACAATGAAAGGACACTTTCAGTGTAATCATGAGTTGCTTAAAAAAAAAATGTTATATTTCTACAAAAACCATCTAAGAATATGTTACATGAAGATTAATTAGTTTTCTTTGTTTTATACATTTTGTAGCTTCCTGTGTAGTCATTTCTGTTTTTCATTGGATGGCCAGTTCAATCCCTTATGCCGTTAGTTTGGTGTGACAGACAAGAGAAAAAAGAAAAAATTCCTTTCTATCAGCTTCCTTCAAAGAAAGAATATTATGGGTGTAAAAACTACTGTTGAGAATTCTAGATCAAGCACATTATTTTAGCTAATTCTTAGCTTTTTAAAGGATCATTTTTTAATTCTCTTTGGAGTAAATGCACTAACTGCTTTAGGCTTAGACTGTGAGTTATTTCATGTAATAACCAAGTTTTGGCACCGTTGCTTCTCTGTTAGTGCAACTAAGATTCTGAGTTCTAATATAAAACTTGGAGTATTGGCATTATTATCATTCTGTGGTTGAAAGCTATATGCTTCTGGGATAAAGTATTATAAATCAGAAAGTGTTGTAAATGACACAGTGTTGTAAATCAGCAAGAGACACAGCTGAGCTGTTGACTTGCACAGCAGTGTGTATTTTCAGTGGCAATTTTGATGTTGCCATACTATCATAGTCCAAAAAGAGTATAAAATACATACTTTTTAAAATTCTGTGCAGTCACTGGATACTACTTGAAAGTTATGAGGTTTCTGTCTGTTAATACAAAAATCATGGTGGCTCATGTCCAGATTATGTTGTGCTTCTTGTATTTAGGCTGGCACCTGTACTTCAGGCAGCCTTACAGATCCACAGAAACATTCAACTTCTCAAGAAGTCATCACTCAACTTTTATTCTGAATTTCACATCTTTCTGATGACATAAATGAAAACTGTATGAGCATACATGGTTTGATGATTTTTAATGTGGTAGAGCATGATCTCACTGCTTGACTAGGACATTACTGTCCTGATGCATCCTGAGACGTGACACCACAGTCGGGAGGGGAGTGAGTATACACAGTTCTGGCAAATGCTGGTGGTTATGACTAGTCCGTGTTAAAATCATGGTACAAGCAGTGAGAAACTGAATGACGTGGTTTCATGTCAACCTGGGTTAAAGTTAACAAAGTTTAATGAAAATGCAAACCCATAACTTTTCATGTAATTGTGCTGTGCCACTTGAATTCAGGTTTAAGCATTACATTACATCGGAGAGACAAATCAGAGCTCAAACTATGCAAATTAACTCTTAGGTGAGTTTTGATTTGTGTATTTACAAGCTGATAGTTTCCATCTCTTTTGTTTTGCTCTAATTTGGAATTAAAATTCTTTGCCATTGTAATTTCTGGCATTTGCAGGTAAGTCTAACAGTATTTCTCTTTTTGTTGTTTTTCAGCATGCCATCAGAAATGCTGATGAAGATACTTTCCTATTTGGATGCTGTGTCCCTGCTGTCTATTGGTTGTGTGAATAAGCGCTTCTATGATCTGGCCAATGATAAGTAAGGAAGAGGGAAGCCTAAGTGCTAATCTTAGTCATGCAGCAGTTGAGTTTACCTGAGTTATGAGTCTTTCTAATTTAGTTTCACTGATGTCAGAGCAGTGATGCATGTACCTACTGGCAATTACTCTGCTGAAAATGTACTGCATAGCTCATAGTACAATGTGTTGTATGGAATTCTAGCTGTGCAATCCCTGTTAAGTTTAATGGGAGTTATGAGGTGAAAACTAAATACAGTGTTTTGAGATGTTGCTATTAGCATTTATTTTGCTGTAAAATTTGCATATACTTGTTTGTATCCATGTGCATTTGCACAGGCTTTTTGATTCAGGCAGTCCTTACTGGTGTGTTGCTCGTTGCTTTGTAGAATTGTCATAGCTTTCATAATTTTGAAGTCCTACTTATTTAGCTCTTTCATCAGGTTTTTGCAGAGGGTTTGATTTAGTCAAGTGATTCACTAGTGGATTTTATCTGTTGTTCTTTCTGTCAAATTTTGGTGACTTATAAATGAAAACAAAAGGGATGAAAAATACTGACACATTTTTTTATAAGCGATTGCTTATACAGAGTTCACAGATTGCTCCTACTGGTATCGTGGTAATTTTATAAAAGGATCAAGAGGAGAGATCCTGTTTGGTATGCAATAACAAGGATGTCTGGGTATCCTTTTTTTTTTTTTTTTTTTTCCTAAGATTCTGCTGCATTACTGTTGTTTAAGTGAGAAAATGTCTTCCTCTATAGGAGGTTGCTGCATGTGGTATTCATCCATTTTTCACTTATTCACCAAAACTTGTACAGTGAATCGGTTAACATTGGCACTGACACCTTTAGAGCTGATGCATTTAAAGGCAGATTTATTTTTTGAGGCTGTCGGCAGGTGCATGTAGATAAAAATTGCATAGCTGACACAAATGATATATCTTAATATGCATTTTCTACTTTGGGATAGTAAGGTAGGATAAAATCATTGTGGCTGTTCAAGGGAAGCTGATCTGTCTGTCTCCATCTCAACAATGTCTGTTTCCATTTTCTAATCTTAACAGAGATTACTGTATGTGCACAAATGGGATTCAAGGAAGAGATAGTTTCCCTTATCTAGGAGACTGACTGATTCAGTGGGACCAGGTCACTTCTTCCCACTGGATTTCCATGGACCTTCCTGAATCTTGTGGTGAATTAACAAAAGTTCTAATGGAGGTTCCTGCATCTTTCTGTGACAAATATGATCTTGGTTTTTAGGGAGAGTGTCTTTTTGAGGATATTTCTGCTGTCCGGGAGATGCAACAGGACCATTAGTCTTTCATTATGATATATCTGTGCTTCTTAATGCAGTGCTTTATCTTTGGGCTCTTCAAATAACGTCTGCGCTTTATCAGTTCCTTGGCACTGATGTCTTCAATGTAACTCTTGAAGGCAAGGAGATATTTCTGTCTCCCCTTTCTGCTATTCCAACCTTCCTGTCATGCTGTGTGGGGAGCTCACATAGATGGTCAGTCTGAAAGCCTATTGATCACCATCAGAAAGTGCTTGTATAAGAGGAAGTGAGAAGCCAGAGCACAGGTGGAAGATCTTTTTGCCTTGCCCAGATTTTTTTCCCATTGTGGTCAAGTGGTGAGTGACATGTCTGATTCTGGCATTTGAGTTAGCAGTAAGAAGTTGGCTTGGCTTGTTGTAACAATGTCCAATAAGAGGCCTTGAGATGAATATTGTAACTAATAATTTGAGGTAAAAGTGGCACATATTCTGCTGTGAAAGAGGCAAATTCATGCTTCCCTGTTGGATGTCTTTTTCATTTGTCTGCCCTGAATTCTTCAGAAATTAAGAATGAAGGGGCAGTGATATTTCCTTAAACACTTGTGATTCCAAGTTCCCTTTTTTTTCTTCTCTGCCTCCCTGCCCTGACTGAATTTTTTAACTTTTAAAAACGATTTCTCATTTGGTTGCACAATGCTGTTTTGGGAAAGGAAGAAGCAATATGTAAACTGAGAGTGAGGAGAAGGATGGTAGGTATTGGTGGAAGTCTGTCTTCATTCAGCTTACGGTGCCTGAGACAGTACCTTCAAAATGCAGGAAATGCTCATTACTAAGCCCTGCCTTTCTTAGCATCATGCAGCCAGATGCTGAGTATCTCTCCTCATGAAAGAAAGGATGTCTGTCTTGGGAATGGGTTTCTAGTTAATAGGAGAGGGTTATAGGAGGACATCTCACTGGACTTTTTAGACTGAACAAGACCAGTTGGATGATACACAGCTCAGTTTTCCCTGATGGTGTGTCAAGGACATTTGTCTTCTGTTTTCATCATCCTGCAATTCTTGGTTGCTTTGGAGATAAATGAGAATTTCCTTCCTCCATCTGTAATGTTTTATACTATCTGGTAACTGGGTTGTCTTTTCTGGTCTCAAAATTCAAGTTTCTTAAACATTTGTTCTATTTATGGGATTGTTCTTTGTATCATGTCTGTTCCTACCCCCCCAGCCCTGTCCCCCTTTCGTGAAAGGAGAGTTGGAAACTCATGTTGACTGTGAACCCCCCTTTACCAGTCATAGAAACGTATGGGTCTGTGTGTTTTAAAAAGCTTTGACAGAAGAAAATAGCATTGGGAGATTGTGCATATATCTGCAGAGCAGCAGGCTGGAAGGATTTTACAAAATTCCTGAGTACGTTTGCATCAATAACAAAGATTCTGGTGCTTGGCATGTGGGGACTTACTCTCAGCAGCTGATGAAGTGAGGGTGGTTTTCATGGGTAGGAGGCAGTGTGGGATGAATTCTAGTCCTTGAATGCTTTAAGGAGGGGAAAAATGTATTACAAAGCATGTTAGTGTAACTTTGCCTGGGGATAAGTGAGGACTGGTAAAGGTAATCTTGCTGATAAATGGTAGAGAATTTCCTTTGAGGATTTGTTTCTGTTGCTATTAATTTTCTTTAGTGCAGTTATGTAGACTGTGTGGCTAGTGCTTTAAAATTAGAAAATTTATTGGAAACCTTTATTCACAGGTTATTGTTTGAATTCTTGTAACTTCTTGTACTCAATATTCTCTGAACTGTCCTAGAGATACTGGGGTGTGGGGATGGAGTTGTGACCTCATATTTTTCCTAACAGGGAAGAGGTGAACCCATCTTTTTTTTTTTTTTTTTTTTAATGTTTGTTTGATCTCTTCAAAAGGACATCTCTTCTCTGAGCTTTTCAGAAGAGAGTATGGAAGGGACTGACATGACAGTGGTAACAACACCAAACATAAGTGATTCTAATTGTCCTTCACCACACTTTCAGCTGGATCTGTGTGAGAAAGGCGTCCAGGTTGACTTTGTTGAATAAGAGATATTAAAATACTTTTTCCACTAGCTGATTTTGTGTGAGAAGGATGTATCATTGTTTTGGGGTGGAATTTTCAAAACTGGATCCCATACTTTCAGGAAGACAGACAAGACTTACATTTTCTTTCTTTCCTTATGGTAGCTTTCTCTCAGATAATGTGCTGGTTTGTTTTGTTGTTTTTTAAAAATCTGCTTCAGTGAGTGTCTGTGAACGAAGCAGCAGAATAAGGGGAAGGAAGAAATTTTAAAAGCCACACATTCCAGTGTGCTATTGAGAGGCATAAAGCAGTGGAACTTTACCAGTATCTGATGATTCTACTTTCTAGAGCACTAGTCAAACGTTTCTGTATATGTATTTGAGATGCTTATCAACCTTACTGGCAAATTATAAGAATTAACTGAATAACTTTTATTTCCCCCTGTGGTAGAGCAGAAAGTTGTAAGTGGATCTCATTTGATATGTATAATCCAGAATAAGAAATGTGTTCAAAGATTCCATATTCTTTGAGCTAACCTAGTAAGCCCATGAGAAATGCTGACATCTAGCATCTTTTGATTCCTGAGCCTTCATGTTACACCAGGGAAACTGACCTCATGTGAGCTGTTGAAAAATCAAAATGGGGTAACGTGTACAACTGTGCCTTTGCATTTTCTTGACCTGTACCTAGGAGGCTACAGTTTCTGGTGTTCTATAACCTTAGATTAAGATCAAACCCAGTTTGCTAATAATCTAGGACTTTATATTTTTCTGCTAACACGATCAGTGGTAGTTGAGACATGCATGTAAGAATAATTAAGTAACTATTTTTGAAATTTATGTCATTTATTCTATTTTTATTTTCAGTGGAATCTGGCTGAAAATCTATTCCAGGTGTTTTAAACCGAAAAGGACAATTTGGACAATGAAATCTCAACAGAGAGAAACTATTTCCTTGGGCTGTGCTGCTCTACGTGATAGAAAGCCTGGGTACTGGAAGAAAGAATACATCTTCAAACAAATAGCTGCTGTCAAAACTAGAGTAATGCGACTTGTTAAACCTGTAGATCCTTATACGGGTCTTCCATGTAAAAACAAAGAAGCTATAAAGTAAGCAATGTCTTGTCACAGAAGATGTTTACTTGAGAACAATGTACAGAATATTAATAGCTTTAGAAATGCTTGAGGGGATATGGAAATAGAGCTATAAAATGTATATACTAATGAGAAGATATGATGATAGCTTGTAAATGACCCAGGCTGAGAAATACAAGTAGCAGTTAGTAGAAATGTAAAAAATTTGTTGGAAGCATAGTTTAAGTTTTGTCACTTTGAGAATATTTGTTGTTGTTGTTGTTGTTGTTATTTTGTGAAACACCCTTCTCCTTTCTCAATTCCTAAATAACAGAGCCTCTGGCTTGAGTTGGATAATTGTTCTAAAGGACAAAAATAGAAAGGAACATGTAATGGAGAAGGCAAACCTATCATTTAAGGACACATCTGTTACTGTACTTTGGTATAGTACAGATTTGCCGTGCTTAGACATCCTGTCAACCCTAAAACTATATGGAGTTATGCCATTGCTTCCTGACCAAAGTGGAGCTCCCAGCAAGAATGGGTGAGTTTTTACATATGATTTTTGAGGGTCTTTTTGGTGTAACTGGTTGATAATGTGTCTGTGGGAGCTATCTGACCTTGGACTCAAGTTAATTCTTCCTTAGAAAGCCTCTCTACAACATTTCCTCCAAAATCTATGTCCTTCTTTTCACTGCTAGAGCTTTAGAGCAAGAAATAGATACAATCCAGCAAGCTATGACATTAATTCATAGGTTAATGTAGCTACTGGCATGCAAGATAAAGACTGATAGATCCTGCCTTAGAAAGCTGAATCTAAGGCATAGGTACAAATGAGCATGAGACAACATGAAAATCTAGGAGGATTTAATGTGTGACATTTAGGTGGAAACAGTTTATCAGTGTTTATGTGGCTACAATCAGGTAATCATGTTACTAACTTTTTTTCTATCTGATAGGAGTGTTTGTGAATTTCGGGAACTTGTGTTTGGCTGCATGTACAATATAAATACATGCATATAAAAAAAATAGTTCACAGCACAATGTGGGATAGCTGTTGTTTGATAACTTAAGGGTGTGCAGTATTTTTCTGGCATTATATTCTGAGAAACGATGTTTATTAGTACGTATTTGAGATATATATGTATTTGGTTGCTGTCAAGCAATTTTCCATGTCTGTGTCTTATGTGTAATTTTCGCATATGCAGTATCAGCTACATGCTTCTTACACAAAATGCCTAGCAGTAGAGCTCTGACAAGAGAATTGTTCACCTACAAAAAACATGGTTCCTCAAGCAGAAGAAAAATATTTGCCTAAAAAAGAAATAACCAAGAGAAGCCTTTTGTGTAAAGTCAGCTAAACAAGTCTTGCAGACAAATTATGTGGGAAATGTAATTGTTTTACTGAGATGATGATTCATATATAGAAAATAGTGAAAGCAAGCTCTCAGGCAGTTAGTGTATTTATTTCACAGAATCGTAAGTTGTTAGAGCTTGTGAATATACATGAAGGTAATGATTCCACAAATATCAGAATGTTACTCAATGTTAAGACTATAAGGAGCTAGTGCAGGTACTTTGGGAAAGTCCCTGTACTTATAACAGCCTGACTGACTTAAAGATGTAAAGGGTAGATGTCCCATTCCTGCCCCAAATCTTACAGTTCAGTGTAATGTGATGAAGTTGTTGGTTGCTCTTTTTCTAGTAGTGTATAGTGGTAAATGTGGACTGTGATACTACTGGGAAACCTAGGAACAATTTTGAATATAATAAGAGCCTAAGTCTGAGAAGATTTTTAGAAAGAGTTATTTTTTCATTCTGAATAGGTAACGCAGACTGCTTTCTGCTCTTCTTTTTATGCATCATTAGCCAGTAAGAACACCTGTGAAGTATGAACTTCAGGTATAGGGTGTTAGAGAGCTAAATCTCTTTAATTACAGGCAAAATATAGAAATAGTTTTCTAAAAATGGAAAGCTGCTTCTAGTTGAATCTTTTAATTTATTATATGTACAGTTTGATCCTTTCGTTGGAATTTTGCTTCTATGGAGGAGGAATTTTTACCTGCTTTCTGGCTTGCTTCATACTGACAAATGCTCAGTGATTCCACCTAGTACCAACATTGTACAAAAACAAATACAAAAAGCATACCAACATAGTATTAAAAACAAATTATAAAGTAATTCTGTGGCTACTTTGAAATATCGGACAAGCATTTTCTTCTTTAATAGTTTATTAAGCCATCCTATGGTGGCTTTTGTTTCTTTTCTTGTTAGGTGTTAAGATCCGGCTAGTATGCCATAGTTGTTCAGAAATAAAGTTTGTGGCTGTGCATGCTGAACACATTCAGAACCGTTTTCATCGTGTCCTGTTGGTCAGACTTCAGAGTTAAAAATGAAATTAGGCTAAATTTTTACATTAAGGAGACAGTCTTGTTGCTATGTTATGTATGTTCTTTTCAAAGACCTCGTGTATGTTCTTTTCAAAGACCTCGTCTACGGTCCTTAATTGCTGAGTACCATCTTGCTAACCTGACTGAAAGTAGTGTCGTAGTTGGTGCTGATAAACTTGTCCAGCTCTTCAGTCTGAATCCAGGACTCTTAGTAGGACTTTGGAAGGTAGGATAACATTTTGTTTCAATACTTTATTATGACTTGAACAAACATTCTTTTGTCTTGTAGTTTGGGATTTTGGGTTTTTGGTTGTTTGTTTTGGATTTGGTGCTTTTTTTTAATTTTTGAAAGATACTGTCTAAACTAACAAGAAGAAAATACAGGTAGGGACAGCTAGTTGATGATTTATTGTATTCTAAAGAGCTGTCACAGAAGTATCTGCACTTTTCAAAAAAATCCACCTCTAATTAAAAGAACAGTTATGTATCATAGTATATTAGATATTGTACTGATCATATTTCTGTGCTCAACTGTATTTATTTTGCAGTCTTTACATGCCAATGTCTGATACCCTAAAGACATTTTAAATAGAATGGTTTGAGGAGAGATGTGCTTTTTCTCCTGACTGTCCACATTGCTCAAAGTGATGAATTCCCACAAGGCAAATTTATTAGTTGTTTCCTTTAATCTACACCACCAGGTAGTCACATCCTGCTCTAGCAGTAGGAATGCTGTAGATCGTGCCCTTTTGGGGATATTAAATTCTTGGTATGGAGTGTTTAAGTTAAGGGGTTAGTCTCCGTGGGCTCTGTGTAGAGATGAATGTCTCTAGAGAGCAATGCAGAACATCTGAAATAGATTTCTACCCTCAAGGAGTCTCTGTCTTTGCACTGAATACACGGGGACCTAGGTGCCTGCCTGAAGTTGCATATGGTTACGTGCTGGAAGGTGTTCTGCTGTTGGAGTGAATTCAGAGGTTGCAGCCCTTTCTTCCTTCCCAGCCATGGTAATGATGTAGACTTGTATTTCTTGTCAGTGTCAAGGAACTTCCTTCAGGAAGCCTGTGAACAGTTGCTCTAAGTTGTGTCTCATTTCCAGCTGGAAACTCTTGCTGCCTCAAACATGCACAATCTCCAGAACTGTTTAAAACCACAGAAGGAATATTTTCTTCACTCTTACGTAAAGGTGTCCATTTCCTAGAAAACTTGAGACTGTCTGACCTGAATGGGTTGTCTCAATCAGCGAAAATCTCCAATAAGTAAACAGACTTTTCTTTTGTATCTTCAGAAGCTTAGTAGATTGGTGTCCCTGTGTTGTTGTCCCTATGGTCTTGCTAGCACATTACTTCTTCCCATGCTTGGAAAGAGAACTCTTTCAGCACCTGGAAATAGTTCAATCATAACTAAGTTCCACAAAGTTGTTAAGCTTCTAGTGCCTCACTCCAGTATATTTTTCCTGCTTACTTTTCTGAACAGCTGTTCTTATTCTCTGTGTGGGCAGAGTACCATTATGCTGTTAACTGTATATGGGTGTCATAATTGTAAATGCCACACATCTTGGGTTTTTACACACAGCTTAGCTGCATAACGGAAATTGTCGATGCTAGTAGTTTTGACAGCCAAGGACAGGTTATGTGGGCCTTCTAGTATTTGGAGAGAGAAAGACTGAGAAACTATGTGATTGATAAATATATCTTATATCTTTTATAGCTGTAATTTTGCACTACAAAAGTACAGGAGTAGCCAAAAAAAAAAAAGTTCTAGTAGGGGACATCATTTGCTGAGGTATGAAAATAGTTGCCCACTTTTCAGGACAGTGGTAGACTGCTGGCAGTGAATAGTTTTGCTATTGACTTAGGTGTTTGAAAACGTAGGACTTAAGAGCTGAAATTGTAGCATTGTGTTTTTTGAAGTAAATAGATACCTCTGGCTCTGTTTAGTTCTCACATTGAGTGCTGAAGTTTTCTTTGAGCTATATAGGCCTATATGAGCAATGTGTTACCATTTTCCCAGGAGTACATAATATGGTGAAGGCATCTGGAGTTTTACTTTGAAATTCATTATTTCTACTGAATAGCTCTGTATTCCTCACTGATGTTAGCCCTCTTGGCTAGTAGTTCCTTACATATGAAAATAAGCTTGATGTTTAGGTATTTAGTAGCTGGGAGTAGGGCCTGTTTGACTCCTTTTAGTTATCTGGTTTAAAGTGGTAAGTAGAAGCCAGAGTAGTACAATTCATCGCTGCTGGTAATTTTTGCCCTGGCATAGCTAGATTCCCTCCCTTTCCCCATAATATAGAAATGCTGTGATCTTTTATCAGAATACATAAATTCTGTACTCTTGTGAAAAGATGGTAGCAGTTATAGGAGTCCAAGTGTTAAAGCAAGCCATTACTAACATTATTACAGTAACTGGCAGAGTAATAAGCAGCAGCATTTATCTATGAATTTTAATGTTCAGGAAAACCTTGTGAAAAAAAATATTTCCAGATGAAAATACATCTACTTTAATTAACTTTTCAGGAGAAAAATGAAATTGCTTTTGTTATGGTGAGTCTTCATTATCATCAACTACTTGAGAGAAGCACTTTGGGTTCTGCTACTGTGTAAGTTTTGGTTTCTCCTTTGTGGGTAATAAAGATAATCTTTTCAATAAAGCTTTGAGTTTTACAGTTAAAATTGGCTACTGGTAAGAGGTTTATATTTCGGCAGTAATTAACTATAGTTGTTTAATATAACCAACAGTTATGGTAACTATATACAAAGCTGTAGAAGTATTTTCATACCAAAATGTTGCCGTTGTTATGCTATTAAAGAGATGATTTGGTCATATAAGTTTACTAGTACTTGCTGTATTGAGATAGTTAGAAATATGCTGCCCATACTTTCTCCCTTTTCAGAAGCAGTCTTTTTATTCCTGCTTCCTATCTGAAAGACCTAGAAAAGAGGGAGACATTTTAGGAAGCAGGAAAACAGTATTTAGCTGTGTAAGAGAGGAGAAAAAAAATCTAGTAAACTGGTAAGGTTGCTTCATTTATCTTTCAGTCCTGTCAAAAAACAAGATGGATTTCCTATGAAGTGTTTGTGTATCTATGTATATATTGCAGTGTATGATATAATACCTGTTTATACACTGTAAACTTTAAAAAGATGGGAGGTTTTTAGCTTTAAAGGATGAATTGGGGGATTTATTTCCTCTCAGCCTACCCCCTCAGCTTTCTGCTCAGATACTGTTGTATCTACTAGTAGTCTTTCTGTGCCTGCTATAACTTAGGATGTCTCTTTTCAGACAGGAGGTAAGACTTGACACCATCTCCCTTACTACCAAATAGGATCCTATGTAGGAGCTGCTCAGTTGCTTCTGGGATTTGAGCTCTTCTTGTCATTTGTGTGCAGTAGTTTCTCTTTTAGATTAGGTGCAGACAAAATTATTCAATGACTTCTATTTCAGGGAAGTCTGTAGCTAGTTGGCCTTTAGAGTTGTAAGCTGATGCTTTTTTTTTTTTTTTTTTTTTTTTGAGTTTAACAGATGTATCTTTTAAAGTTGAGTGCCATATTTTCTGCCATGGCTTAGGCTGGACACCTGATTAGAAGTATTATACACTGTATTAGCTTAAAAGAAGTATGATGAACTAGAGAAGCTTGATTTTTCAAAAGTCTTAATAAAGAAGAAAAGTTGTGTCTTCTAATAATGTTTTCCTCCTCTTATAACCTCTCCTAAGATGATAGTCTCAGCACAGGGCTGTTTACGGTGTCTCTTTTTATTAAGTACTTCCCCCTTGCTTAATTCTATTATTATTATTATTTTCTTAAAGTCAATATGCCCTTGCACCTAATACACCTGTATTGGATGATGTTGACCCAGAGTATGGACTGCATGACTACATCCTACATGTTGATATGCATGGTAGAAGCTGCACCTACCTGTGTGGAACATTCAGGAGCCTCTTCTGCAGAAAAGGTAGAGTTGATAGAACAGTAATGTCTGTTTTTAAAATGATCCCTCCTGTTATGTTTTCCCTCTTATATCCAATATCTCTGTTTTAAGGGGAGAAACTGAAATGGATTTTTAACAGTAAGCTATCCTTTTGTTTGCTGTGTGATTTCTTTATATCTGCATGGTGTATTGTGCGGTGTCATAAGCTTGCTCTATATGAAGTCTGCCTACTATTACATTGACACAGTGTCAGGCCTGAGATATAAGTTCTGCAGATTGTCAGGATATTTTTGTTTGGTTCAGTGCTGAGTTAATAATGCGGTGTCACAGCTTTTGGTGCAGGTTGATATTCCTTCCACTTGTATACTATAAGGGAGAGTGAGTTTGTCCTCGCATGTTTTGGAGACCTATTTCTGTAGAATGCTTCTCAAGTATACTTTAGATGCATTGACAGATTAAATATTTAAATATATTTGTAGAAGATACTGTGGACTTTAAGATTTATAGCTTTTATTGAGGTCAGTTTAAGGTTGCCTATTCTGACATCCTTTCATTGTGTAATAAACAATTTCAGTGATTGTTTTTAACTGTTCTGCTTTTTTTTCAGTTCTTAGCATTTCTTTTAATGAGACATAATTGGCTATCATGTACAGCCCAATTTAGTAATTCTACTAGGGTTTTGCAAAATACAGGGGTGATCTCTCTTTTGACTTAACTTGAGCACAATCCTGACTACAGCTACACGGCTGTCTTTCTGTCAGCAGAGACAAATTAAAATGTTAAAATTAAGCGATTAAAATGAAACACTAAATTAATTATTGCTCCCTAGTATTTTTCTGGTAACTAATGAGCCTTTTGTTGATTTCAGAAAATACTGTTTTCGATGAAGTCAGTAGAGGGCACTGTTACCGGGCTTGAGTGCTTTTACAGTGTTAGAATAAATTTCTCATAACTTTTTTTTTTTTTAATTTGTATTTGATGACTCCAAGAACCGTCATTTAAGACTGTAGCTTTGTGCACAGTGTGACGTGTTGTAGGCCTTTGAATTTGAAACATACATGTTTTCAGATTCTCAAAAGCTCCAATTTTGAAACAAAGGAATACTTATAAAGGTAAAAGTTCAGTGAAATTCTATCCATGTAGTAATAGAAATCTCTCCTGAAGTGGTGTTTAATACAGGAGTACTCTCTACACCCTCATCAAAAAATATTCTTCTGTAAATTGGTTAGAGGGTTGGGTTTTTGGTTTTGTGTGTGAATGTTTGCTTTTTAGGTGAATGTCATGTTTTGTTTTCTAAAATTAGAATTTTACCCTAGCAATACATCTGTACAAGAGAAAGCAATATGTGGCCTGCTTTCTTGGTTGGTATCACTTTTTTGCTGCTTAGAAGCTACTTCTGTTACAGTTGATGTTTATGCAAATTGTAGCAAATGTCCAGGAGCTATAGCTGTGATGCCATCTCACTTTGTTAGTTAGATGTTCTGTTTTATGATCACGAGTGTTTTCTGAGCGGTTTTCTGTTTTGTGTCCTTTAGCTGTGTGACAGCTGCTAGATTCTGCTCTCACAGCACATCAGCCAGCTGAAGTCATGGTTCTGCAGGCAATAAGCTCATTTGTCATCTAGTCCCTTATACGTACTTGCACAATAATTCCTTTTGGAAAATGCTTGATTTCCCCCATAATTTCTGTTCAGAAATGATGTAGTGAGGCAGCTTATGGCTGTGTGCTGTCACATATCTTTACGGTAATTTGTTGTTCACTTTGCTCTTTCTGGTAAACATGGTGTGTTTACCAGAACAATGTGGCCAGCAGTGTAGGTTTGTCCAAGCTGGTTGTATCTGATGGTTTGCGCTTGGTTTTTTAGGCTTCATTCTAATTATACTTTTTGTCCTTTTCTCAGAGAGAGCTCTGAAGCATTGAAGTCTCTGACATAGTGAGAAATCTTGCTATTTTTTTAAAATTCTCTACCCAATCTAGATTTATTTAAAATTATGGATGTGACATGCCGATGGCAACCTGAGACACAGATCAGTTGTCAGCTATTATACTGGGGTTTTACTTACTTGCTTCCATTAGAATGCTGTAGCCACTCCTGGGTTACCAGGGAGTGCCCATTTGTTATTCTGCAGAATAACGGATTTATTTGTTCACGTGTAGTTTTATTTTTTGTCTGCTTTTGTTAGTGTTCATCAAGCTGTGCTTCAATTTGCTGCTCTATTTTCAATTATTTCTGCAAAATTCTTAACATTAAATTTAAAAAAGTTTCATCACACTTAAATGAACCAAATAGATGTGGTATATATGGCTTTGGATCTTTTGTTCTGGTATTAATAATACTTGCACTGCATTAGCTAGCTGTTTTGCCACTGTTTTAGCTGTTTTTTTAGCGTTTTATTTTATGCTTCCATTTAAACAGAATTGGTAATATGGTCTTGTTGACAGATGAATATAGGGTGAATATGCTAAATACTTTCAAACTGCGTTGAAAGTATTAGAAAACTTTCCTTGTTTTCAGGAAGCTGTGACAGGCTTTTCATATGTCTCAATAGAAGCTATGAATACTACATCTAGCTTTTTAATAAGCATTCTTGAAATGTATTTACGTAGGTTTTCAACTTTTTAATCAGAGCTTTGTAGCCATGGGGTGGTCTAAGCTTTGGCTTTTCCGTGTTAGTCCTTCTTGGTGTAAGTTGATGTTGTTGTACTTGCGAAATGTAAAGAGGTGATTTTTGTGTGTTTGGAGAACTTCTGATTGTAAAATAACACATTAGGTATTTGAAATGTTTTGCTTGACCTTGAAGACCGATTTGCAAGTTTAAATGACCATTTCAGTATGGTAAGGCTGGTTGTTGCCACCAGAAGTATTGTTAGGCACAGCCTTCCCTGTGAAAGTAACAATCAGATTACAGCTTGCAACAGAGTCTTGGTTAGCAAAACAAACTCAGCTTTTAGCTAAAATAAGTACCTTCAAACTGTTGGGCTATTTGTTTCTTTCCCCTGGATTTGTCTACATGATATATGTTCTCTATATTGGTATTATTTTATTTGGAAATATTTGTTCCCTATAACCTATACTGATTAAAGGTTTGCTTTGCTGCTGTGCATATCTTGCGTAAACTCTGCACTGTAGATAGAAGGGGACAATGAAATGAATTCTAGATCAGTCTGAAGAAAGCCCTGTGCAGTTTGCTTCCTCTGTTTCCTGTGGTATATTTAACATAGCTTGCTTTTCCTTTTAATTTTCTTATCTCATCTGACTGGGATGAGGAAGAGGAGATATCAGCACTTTAGCACTTCAACTTCTTGCTAATTTCTAGGCATACTTTTTCTTTCTTCTGGATATGAGGACTGCAGTGAAGCTTTTATATTTAAAAAAAATATAAAGACTTGATTAACCATCTAGCAATGGTTGAATGAACTGCTGGTTCATGTTATTAATACCAGTAACAGTGATGTCCCGGGCTTCATTAATTTATTAGCAGTATGCTTTTTTCAATCTGCTTTTATTCCATTAAAATTTTAATTTGTTTTGAATGAGTGAGAGGAATAGCTGCTTCCATTAAAATCTGAATTGCAGATAATTGAATAGTCCTCTGGAAAAATTTCTTGTTGACTGATTTTGTTTAAAGTCTCTTGTATAAAAGCTTACCTTTAAATGTGGGCTTCCAGTATTCACTTAGTAAAGCTTGACTATTTGTCTAAAATATTTTTATCTTGAATGAAATCTTGTCATTGGATTTGATTTATTGAGGTTTGAAACAGAACCATTTGGATAGGTATCATCATAATAGCCTTTTTTTGCACTTGTAGCTCCATCTTGAAAGTGAATTCTGCTTACATTTTCCTCACTGAGTTCTCTGGGGCTTCACTGCAAGGACAGTGGATATCACTGTCTGGAGTGATGCATTTTTCTTCAACCATACAAAATATTTCCTGGGCATAGTCATCTTGGTGTCAGTGTATTCACACTCCTATTCCATACAGTGTCTGTACTGACAAACCTGCTGCTTCTGTCTTCTGTCACGTGTTAGGATGCTGCTTCCTCCACAGAGTAAGTATTCTTTGGAATCCCTGTTTGTGAGTGATGTCTTTCCAGCATTGGTTTGTGGCCAGGCATCTCTTGGGAGTTGCTTGGCCCTGCAGTACCAATTCAGAGAAGCTTCTGGCTTCTGTGGTGAACTGTGGACTGTTGCTTTGCTCCCAGCTGTCTGCCTTCAGCAGCCACCAGGGAAAAGCTTTTGCTGCTCTTTCACACAGGCTTTAGTTTTTTAACTTAAAAGCCAGCCTTTCTGATGTTGCTTCTTCTGTATTCAAGCTCATGCTGCTACTTGGGCTTGATTGAAGGATAACCACAGGCAAAACACTTCCCTCTTTTTTTCACTTTTGCCACTTGCATCCTAAACCTCTACAGTCCCCTTCAGTCATCATCTTACCATCCAGGACCTGTCACTGGATCCTGACAAGCAGTATTTTCCTGGGAATTCTTTCTCCCCCTTCCTATCTGTCTCCTGCAAGTGCTAGGATACTTAGATACTCTCTTTCAAGAGAGTATCTCTTGTTCAAGGACATTTATTTTAAGGAATCTCCCGTGAAGAAATCTGCTTGTGTCATGGTGTTGTGCTTTTTTTTTTTTTTTTTTTTTTTTTTTTTTTTTTTTTTTTCAGTCAGATCTTGTTTGTTATGAAGTACCCCAAATTATAATTAGACTGTTGGACTTCCTGATTAACTTTCCTTCTCCCACAGAAGGGGAAAAAGTAACAATTAAAAAAAGTTGAAAAGTTGATCTCTTCTTGGGGGAGAGGAAGACATACCAAAGAAATATGGTTATGTGTAGTAATAAAACTAAAAAAAAATCTTAAAGAAATATTAATAATTCTGTCAATAAATGGAAGTGAACCTTTGGAAAGCTATGTAAAAAATGAACAAATGTATAATTTAAAGACTTGATTCTCAATGAAGACGTGCTGCTTGTCATTTTAAATGATGTAATATCCTTTCCAGGTGGACTGATAGTTATCTTTATACCCTGCTGTATAGGGTTAAGTTACCAGACAGAGCAGAGATATTTTCTTAGAAAAAAAAAAAACAAAACGGAAAAAAAAAGGAGGGGGAGGTGTCTCATAATTTATTTTATGTGTTCTGTGTTGAGCTTGACTTTTGGGGAGTGGACAGTGATGGAGGCACTGGTGGCATGAAATTGAAATATTAAACATGGAAGTTACTCCTTATCCTTGTGTAAGTCCTTTAGGTGCCATTCAGGTTTTTATACTCAAATATACCCAGGGTTTTTTTAGCTGTTGCTTCTACTGTGGACCGCAGAATTGAAGCCCTGAACAACAACTTAAATTCTCTATAATGTGCTTGATATCTAGCTGTTCGTGTACGTCAGGGTTCCTTATTGGTAAGTGGAAGGAAACTAGACATGGAGAGAAGCAGAGGGAACATTTACAGTGTATATGGGCTTAGTCTGATTCGTAGTGGCATAATGTTATATATTGTCAATATTTTCAGGTGACATTGCAAATGGATATTTGAGGCTCCCAGTTGTAAGCTTAAAGGATCATAGAAAGCACATGCCTCTTCCTGGGACACTTGGCTTATCCTGGGAAACAGATGTGTTTAAAGGCAAAGTAAAGGTGAGTCAGAAATACTTTTGGTTTCTGGACATCCTTATCTCAAAACAGAATTATGTTTATGCATCCTAAATATGCTAATTAAAAAAAAGTTTAATTATGGAAGGTGTCTGTAACTGGACAAAAAAAAGTTGAAAAAAGTTAATTCCGATATCGTAAAAATGATGTGAATTTTGAGGATAAAAAGTTTTATCCTTTCTGTCTTAGAGTCTGGATTGCATGATAGACCCATTATGCATGTGTGATGACTCCAGTACTTTCCACTCATCAAAGATGCTGTGACTGACCAGTACTGATTGAAATGCTGTACAAAAAATGTACCACTGATGTATCTTTTGTGTTTGGTTTTTTTTTTTTGGTGTGTTTTGTTTCTTTTTTTTTCAGGCAGTAAGTCTTGAACCCCTGGGGAAATACAAAATACTTTGTAGTTCTGGTGTAACCTGTATGTGCAATGAAGGTTAGAAACTATTGGAGAATGTTAAAATGCCAACAGACACAGGCAGAAATTACAGTCCACATTCATGCTGTCAGCACCTAGCTCTTGAGTAATGTACATGTGTCAGCTGGATTAACTGTTTGTGTTTTAGAGGAATTCTCACTTGTTCTCCTGTATAAAATTTCTAAAAGAATGATTTTAAAGAAAGTTTGAGTGGTAGATTTTGCAATAGTGGTCAAGGCACATATTTTTAAAGGTACTTCAGCTGCATGAACATGTCACACATACCAAAAATTCTGATATATGTAACCTAAGCACTACTAAAAAATGATCTGGTTCAACACTTGATTTTAAATTTTAAAAAAGTAAAAATCAGTAAAACTGTCATTTCTGATAATCCTGCATAAATGTGCAATGAAATACTGTTTGGTAACAATATTTTGCTCATAGACATTTACATACTTGTTTTATAGTGTCAGCCAGCTTTCCTATGCAATGAGGAATATGAAATTTATCTTAAAATTATCTTAAAATCTACTAGTATCTGTTGGGAACATCAGCTACAGTTGAGCTTGTATTACCGTTTCCATTCAGTCCTCCCTCTCTAATTGCTCATAGCATTTTTTTTTCCTTAAAATTCCTTCTTTGCATAGTTTGTTCACTTATATTTTTTTTTCAGTTTGTACTAAAGTTTATTGAGTTAGATCTTTGTTTTCAAAAGAACAACAAATCCTTCCCCTATGTGTTTTAATTTAAAAAAAATTACATGTTGGTAATTAGAAGGAATTCAAGCTAACAAGAAAATGCTTTTAGAGCAATTGTTTGCCATCTTTCTTTCATTGCTGTGAATGTTCATTGAGAATTATGATGCAGAATAGGTGCTTTTTTGAAGCTTCTGAAAAATTTTAGACTTGAATTAGTTTATTTTATTTTTATGTGTAACCCATTAATTTCATTAGAATTATTTGCGTGCTTAAAGTTAGTGGGATCTTAGCACTTCATTACAGAATATGCATCATTTGCTTGAAAAACATATGATAGCAGGTAGGAAATTTTCTGCCTTGTTGGTCAAATAGCAGAAAATTAAGGCTCTGGGGCCACCTTATTGTGGCCTTTCAATATATAAGGGGGGCTTATGAGAAAGGCTGAGGGAGACTTTTTACCAAGGATTGTAGTGACAGGGCAAGGGACAGTGGTTTTAAACGTAAAGAGGGTAGATTTAAATTAGACATTGGGAAGAATTTTTTTTTTTTTTTATTATGCGGTAATGAGGCACTGGAACAGGTTGCCCAGAGAATTTGAGGATGATGCCCCGTCACTGGGAATGTTTGAGGCCAGGTTGGGTGCAGCTTTGAGTAACCTGATCTAGTGGAAGACGTCCTTGTCCACAGCAGGGAGGTTGGACTAGGTGATCCTTAAAGGTCCCTCTCAACCCAGAATGTTCTACGATTCTGTATGGTTTGCAGCTGCTTGGCAGAATTTTTTCTTCCATGAAAATAATCACGAGTACCACATAAAAATTTGGGAAATTAACTGTCAGAGGAGAAACAGAGCTATGGCTGTAGTCTTTAGTTTAGCTCTGTCCTGTGTGCTTTTACAGCATAAGTTATACTGAATATTTGTTTCTAAACCCCTTATTTTGTGGTGAGAAATTGCACATGTCAGCACATAGCTGTGGGTAGAATTAAATTTGGGTTTTAATATAAATGTCTCAAACTCTTAAAACATGTGAAGGCCAAATCAAATCAGCCACAGCAGCAGAACACGCCACTATTTTGAACTTATTTGAATTTTGTTCAACACTCAAAAAGTGTTTTGGCACTTCTGTTTTTTTTTTTTTAATAGAAAATTAATTGTTTAGTTGGAAATACATGGGAAGAAAAAAACCCCAGCACTCCAGGTCACCCTGCTTCACTTATTGTAATTGGCCTTTGATATGCAAGATATCAGACAAGAAAATAGTAATTCTTTCTTGTTACAAGTAAATCTATAGTTTGTATAAGTCATTAAATGATCACCAGATTTGGTTTGAATTTTGTGTTTTCAGCATACTGTACAGTAACAAACTTAGGAGAACAGTATGTATGGCATTGCTTCTGATGTTTGTGCCATCTGCTTTGTATTGTTTGAAGTACAGTAACAGTGAAAGAAATGTTGAAGCAGTGGAAGCACAACTATGTAGTACAGTGAAATAAAGCATTCCAAATTAATTTCTTGTCAAGGAATATGTGATGTTGGTTTGTTTATGCTTTTGAAGCATATGGTACTCCTGGAAGTAATGCATACATGCAGCATAATTAAGGTAATCTGATTCATTTAGTGATTCAGAACTCATGAGCATAGTTAACAGCTGATATTAACAATGATGCACAACCCATTTGCTTTTAAGGCACGTGTGAAAGCATCACTTTGCAATTGCCCAAGAATTGCCATCCTGGCTTTAGCATTATAAAATTTTGTAATTGTGTAGTGTTGTAACGAATTTATTTTCAAGAATTTTTAAAAGGCAGAACTATTTGGAAGGTAGAAAGCTATTACCTTTTTGGGAACTGAAGCTTTCGGATGTTAAAAAAAGTGCTGTATACCTTTAATTTACAGCTGGCATATGAGGTTAATTGTTGTGTGTGTACACTGCCTTAGGGGTAGTCTCTGAGTATCTTTGCAAACATTGCTGCATTCACATAAGTTAGCACCTGAGTTTAAATTTATGTTTCTTTCTCATATTGAAAAGACTTATTTGAATGGTAAGGTAACTAATGATTGAGAAACACAGATATTAAAGGCTGAAAATTGTTGAAGAAATAAGATCTGATTTAGATTGGCAGTGCTACGTTCTGTAGCAGTTTTTGATGTCTGTAGGTGGCAATTTTGATTTCTGTAGGAAACCTCTAAATAAGTATTTGTTGCTTCACAGTAGTCACTGGAGCACAATCAATTATATTTTGAGTTTTAGGCTTTCATACCAAAAATTGCTCTCTAAACCCTTGATATTTATGCTAAAATCAGGGACATATCTACTTACTGTGCCATGGTATAGGGAAATAGTTTTTTCTGCTTGTGTTTGTAGGATTGCTACATGATGGATGTTACTCTCTTGGATGAAACTGGAAAGCCCTTCTGGTGTTTCAGCGCCCCAGTCCATATGGAACCATCTGCCAAGGCATCCTGCCTTTATGACTATATGGGTCCTATCTATACCATAGACTATGCAGATGCAGAGGGTAAAGTCTCTGTTGAGTTGATATGGTTGGAAGAAACGAAGGAGTATATTATAGTCAATTTGGTGCTATATATAAGCACCAAAAAGGTAAATGACTGGTATGGAACAAATTACTGAATTGCATCACTAATTTCCTTGCTTTAAAAAAAAGAAGCAAAAACCATACTAAACTCTTAATCCTTAAAATTGATAGCAATGAGCAAGACTGTTCCTACAAGTTTTTCAGTAACAGTTGCAATGGCATAATTTTTTTTTTTAATTGGTATTGGATAGATTGAAGAGACATGTTTATATAATTTTTTTTTTTTCCTCTCTGTTGAACATCACGTGGTTAGTCTGTTTCTAGTACTGGATGTATTTAAATTATTTTTAGGAAAAGTTTTCTTTTTATATACTTGTTACAATGGTTGATGGATTACTTCTTGTGAGAGCCATACTGTGAAGATGCTTACCTTATGTAAACTACACTGTTTTTGAGAACATTGACTTTTATGCCTAGTAGTAAAACAGCATGCATGCTGTTCCCTTCAGATTCATTAGAGGGTTATTGGTAAATAAAAGGTTTTGACATGTTTTGTTTAAATGCAGAAATACTTTATTTTTCAGAAAACACTTCAATCCTAGTATAGGATTTAAAAGGTAGACAGGAAGTCACAGATCTGAACAATATGGCAGTTAAGGCATTAGTTAAGAAAATCACATATAATATCTATTAGGAAATGTCTTTAAACTTCTGTTTGCTCTATTTTCCCATGTTTTAACCTTCTGTTTGAACCTAGATACTTGCCTCATGTATTGGCATATGAATAAATGTCCTAATTATCAGCACAGCTGAACTGGTCTCTGCTCTTATTGTACGTAACATTCAGTTGTTTTGGAAACAATGCATATCTGATACCATTTATATAACAGTAAGTATTCATATAAAAATTGAATGCTTGTGCCTGATCTTTCAGGTTCCTTGAAGTAATTTTAGGACCAAATCTTCTATTCCCTGTATAAAAAAAGAGACATGATATTTGGACTTCGGTGTCCCACTACGTAGTGTGTTACAAACCACAGCAAATTTGTGTAGTTTCATAGTACAGTTAAGAAAAAAGCACGACTATGTTGTTGACTTCTGTGACTATTAATGGTAGTGATTTCCTTAAAAATAATTTCTCTCTTTATTCACTAAGTACATTAATTGGTTCATGCAAGCAATGTTTATGTGTAAGCACTTGTGCTCTATACTACAGAGACAGTAAGAGATCTATACTGCAGTGTTAGGGTTGTTGCTTAATGTAACTTTCAAAGATAATAAAATTAAGGCTAATTCAGTTCTAGTTTGACTTGTATAACCTTGCCTAATGAAGAAACAGACACATTTCTGTGTCTAGTGGTTAGCTAGTGTGACAAGTACTATCATCTGCATTCTGTCTCCTTTCTTATAGACTACTGATGGTGACTGGGATCCACTGAAATAATATAACTGGTTGTGATGAATGATGGAACATATACTGAAATTAATAATGCATGAACAAGTGGCCAGTCAGGATTTTCTTGCCTGAAGTTAGACTAACTCTGTGGTGCCACCTTTAGAAAGGAAATGGTAACTCAGTCCCAAAGTCCTCTCAGTCCTTGGCCTTACTGCTGAGCCTGTAACCAAAGGTGTAAAATTATTCTGGCTGCATTGATCCTTTGAGGTGTGCAAGTATGTTCTCTGACCTGTGTTATGGTGGCTATCAAATAAAAAACCAACCACCAAAAATTAAAAAATTATTATTAACACTGTTATCTAGCTCTCTGTAAATTACAGGTTTGAATGTCTGTGAGAGGAGAACAGAACAACTTCCTAGGGTTTAATGACAACCCAAAATGCATAACCAAGCATAACTCCTTAGGGTTTAAAGACAACCCAGAACGCAAAACAAAGCACCACTCCCTAGGGTTCAATGACAACCCAAAACCCTCTATCGCTCACCTAACAAGTGAGGGCTCTCAACCTCAAGGACCTGCTCAGGGCAGAGTCCTGACCCAAGTCACCTCCAGGAGTTTCTTTGGGCGGCATCCCAATCCAAGGGGACAGTCCTGGATGGCAGTGTGCTGCTCCAGGGGACAAAATCAACATGACTCCCCCAGGGGACTCCATTTATACCCAGGCCGAATCTGACCTGGAGTCAATAGCAGCTCCCATTGGTCAAAGACCCCAACTACTGTGAAGCCCCGAGAGCAAAGACAATCAGGAGCTGCAGCACTTCATCAGCCAAGAAACACTATTTTCATTGGGTGGGTGCACCTGCCACAACCTGCTGTGATGCTGCTAAAGTCAATGGGCACACAGCAGCCATAAATGTTAGGAGTCCTGTCACTGCTCGTTCTAGATTAAATTTTATTTCATTTCCAATGTTGGTTTTCTATTTAAAAAAAAAAGTATTTCATTTTCTTTAAAAATAATTCCAATTTCAAAAGCATTTGACTGTTTTATACAGTCGAATGTTTTGTTTTAAAGAAAATTCTGATGTCACCATTGGAAATTAAATGAGAGTATGCTGTCCCTACCCCCAATACTACAATCTAGTAGCCTGAAAGTTTACTAACTGAATTAACGAGGAAGATGGTAAGTCTTTAGCAGCTCTATGAACCTAAAAGGTGATACAAGGCATAGCAGAGTTTCCTCAGGCTATTGCTAAATTATTTCTGCTGTTCATAACCAAGGATGTGTATATAGACTGAGCCCAAGGAAATGGTGGTTCTGAGATCTTCAAAAATGGACATAACTGTTACAGAACTGTTTTCATGCATCCTCACTGAAGTAAGAGGACCATATTATTGTTGAAGATATGAAGGCTAAGAATCCATTCTTACCTCTTCAGGTAGGCCTAAGATGGACCTAAATATGCCCTAGTATTATGCCATGTGTACACTGCTTTAATTTCAGCTGACAGTTGCTTTTATCTTGGACAGCTGAAGCAAATTCTGTAGTTACCACCTGTATGATCAAACCTGGTAAGTTGCATGTGGCTTTACTCGAACTTCCATTTCTTGAACTCCCATCTTCTTTTCTTTGTATGAGTGAGGACATACACAGAACCACACAAAGAAAAAGGATGACATCAGGTAACTGCACTGGCCCTTTTCTTGAAAGAAAATGTCATTTGCTCAAAAAAATTACATGTTTTGATAAAATCTTTGGCTAATCTGTAAAATCCCTTTTTATATACCTGGTGCAAAAGGCAGTAAGATGAGTTGTGTGTCCCACTCTGTGACAAAAGATTTGTGCTCTATAAATTACAATTGTTAGAACAAAGAGGAAAAATGGAGGCATCAGTTGAAATCTGATCATCAAAATACACAGCTGGTCATGACAGTAAGCCTTACATCATATTTTTCACTTATTGCCTCAGGATTTCTTGAGCCGCTTTTAATTATTTTCTTAGTGTTCCATACTGAAGACAGGACAATGTCTTTGTTGTAATTGCATCATTTATCCAAGTAGTTGGACAATTTCTGTGAGGAAAAACTATAAACACTTGTAAGTGGGAAAAAAATTTAAAAGTTAAAGATTTTACTTGTATTTGTGTGCACTTCAGGCACAACTCATGCAAGTAAAGAGAGTAACCATAACTTCTAATGTGTATGCTTAAGTACTCTGCAACAGATAGAACTGTAATATTTTTTAAAGGGTGATTTACCTGGTAGACAATCATAAAAACAGTACTTATGTTTATTTTATTGCAAATATAAAATTGCTTATTTAACATACTAAGTTTAAATTGCATTGAAAAGGAATCAGTATGGAAGAGTGATTTAATGAAAGGACTTTTATGAGATTATTCCAACAGTGGAGGAGTTGTCTTTTTAATAGAACTACATCTAAATATTAACCCTGCCATTTGTCATTGTTTTGCTGATGTCTGCTTTGTACCTAAATGCTTCTGTATTCTGTGTTCTTGATTTTCTTTTTCCTTTTTTTTTTTTTTTTTTTTTGAAAGAGGTACTTGTAAATGGAAAATGTCTTCAATGAACAATTCATTAATATTCTTGGGCATTTAATTTGATCTTCCATTGATACAAGCTGCAACTCTGTTGGTTTATATCATCTGAAGAATTGGCTTTAATTTTAACACTGCCACTCTGGAATCATTGCTCTTTACTGCGGTTGGCTTACTTTAATGGGGAACTAATAGCATCTATATATTTCTGAAGTCTGTAATGTAGGCTAGTAATCACAGTATTTTTCTTCAAGCTGGCCTTTCAGATGTTTTGATTTTTCTTCCCATCTTTTTGCAATTGCTATTAGAGAACCAGCTCTGCTTTCATAATGCATTTCTGTTCCAATGTGCTTTAGAGATGTGATTGAATACAGAAAGCAATTGTATGGTGGATAGCCTCATCACTGATTTTATTTTTTATTTTTTCTGCCTGGCCTCTCTCCCCTTATTTAGCAGGCATGTTTTGGTTTGCATTCATCCATTAGATTTTTAGGTATGGTCTTGATTTAATTGAAAATGTTCTCATTGTTATAAACTTGCTTTTTGAGAAACTTTTTTTTTTTTTTTTTTAAATTTAGCTACATGGCTATTTAGCAAAAATATATGTTTAGTATAATAAGGATATCATGAGCTGAAATGGATTAATACTGCTTCAGATTAATAATCTAAACAAGCGAGCAAGTTGTTTCTTAAGTATAACTTAATGTGTTACCATCCATCAACAGTCATGTAGTAGCCTACCTTGTATTTGCCAGGTGTTCCACCACATTCAAACAATTAGGAGGAGATTTAGGTAAAAGCATTTGCTCTTTTGCCTGTCTGGCATATTGCTATGGCTCAGCTGATAACAGTGACTCATTAAGTTGTGATAACTAAATCTGAGCTCAGATATAACTGCATTAGAAACCTCATAGATAAAACAGTGTTTTGAGAAATTAAAATGAGAACAAGCTATTGGTTTCAATCTCTACTTATGCATAGTGAGTTGGGAGAATGTTAATATGAAAAGTTAAATCCTGTCATTATTTCCTGTCTCTTGCTTCCACCATAAATCAGAGTGGGAAGTGGTAGCAGCAAGGGTAGCTAGTGAGTTGTGTAGTGGTGAGGAAAGATTTATTATACTAAATGTCAAGGCATTGTTTATTCTGTTCTCTCTTCAAATTTTAAACCATTTCAGAGTCTTTCTCATGCTGTGCCTGTTTTGAAATGTCCATGGAAAGGGAGTAAGGCTACTTTGTATCCATGCTACTTCAGTTGTAGAAGTGTTTATTATAAAGTTGGAAAGTAGTAAGGCTTTTAAACCTGGAAAGAATAACTCCCATTTTAGTTTTCTTTGGTGTGTTTAAGTTGTTTATCTCCTTTTGAAGAGAGGTGAACCTTTTGAAGGGAAATGCACTTATGAGTCAGATACTGATCATATATTAGTAGGTAGAATTACTTTTGTTGTGCATACAGACCACTTGGAATGCAGGTTTGTATTTTTTTTCTCTCCTGAATCAGTCATGCATGAAGTTAAATTCAGCTGTCTTGATGAAATCTTACCCAAAAAATGCAAGGTAGGGAAGAATGTGTAATAGCTAGGTAATGTCCTATTTATACACTGAAATACTATAAATCAGTTTAGGCTGCAGGGATTGGAAAGTATTGAACTATTAAATAAAAACCTACCACCACCAAACCCCTCAAGCTAAGGCAAATACTTAGTTAATCAGCTTAGCTTACTTAGTTCAGTGTCATAATTTCTTTTCTACCAAAGATAAAA